GTATAAAACCGATTCATGCAAATCATCTTCGGTCGTTTCTAAGCTCATGAGAGAGAGAACAATAGATGACCTTTTTAACATTTTTAATGCCGCTAATGACCTAAGCCTATATATATAAAAGTCTATATATATATACATATATGTATGTATATATGTATATATATGTATATATATATATATATATATATATATATATATATATATATATATATATATGTGTGTGTGTGTGTGTGTGTGTGTGTGTGTGTGTGTGTGTGTGTGTGTGTGTGTGTATATGAGTATGTATATATATGTATATACATCTATATATATATAAATATATATGTATATATATATATATATATATATTTGTGAATTTATATATATATATATATATATATATATATATATATATATATATATATATATATATATATATATATATATGTATATATTTATATGTATATGTATAAATATATATATATATATATATATATATATATATATATATATATATATATATACACACATTTATATCTATATCTATCAATTTGTACATATATATATATATATATATATATATATATATATATATATATATATATATATATATATATGTGTGTGTGTGTGTGTGTGTGTGTGTGTGTGTGTGTGTGTGTGTGTGTGTGTGTGTGTGTTTGTATACCTTCTGTGCATATGCCTGTGTATGCTCGAGCGCATGTGTAATGATAATGATAATGATAATATTAATAACAATGATAATAATAGTAATGATAATAATACCATTAACAATGACAGCGATAATGAAAATAATGATAATAATATTAATAATAGCAATTGTGCTACTGATGATAATGATGATAATGATAACAACAATACTAATGATGATGATGATAATAATGCCAGTAATGAAAATGGTTATGATAATGATGATAATGATAACAATAAAATAATGATAATATTGATAATAAAGATAATGATAATAGCAATGATGATGATAATAATAATGATAATGATAATAATAAAGATACTAATATTTATAACAATATTATTACTATTATTATCATTATTATTATTATTATTGTTGTTGTTATTATTATCATTATTACTATTATTACTATTCTTGTTATCATCACCATAGTGATAATAATAATAATAATGATAAGAATAATTATTTTAGTGGATAATTAAAGTACTAACACTGATGACAGTAATGATTATGGTAATAATGATAATAGTACATAATACACTGATGACAATAATGATTATGGATATAGTGATGATAATGATAGCGTATAAAATAAAGTGATGATATTTAGGTTGAAGACAATTGCAATTTTGCAATTTTTGTGTCCTATTTATAGCCCTCTTTATATTAAGGACCCTTTTTTTTCTATTCGCCAACAGTAAAGATAGATTTTGGACATATGGGGTCTATCAAGAAAAAAATAAAATATAATGTAAAAAATATATCACATACCATAATCCCTACAAACAGCTTTCATTTAATAGCATGTAAACATTTATATGCAGCATCCTTCCCTTACATAATTTCGACTGCGTTACGAAAAGAGGAAAAGGGAAAAGATTAAAGACCCTATAAAAGAAGGAAAAAGAAGGAGAAAGAAAGAAGAGACGGTAAATTTGGAGGATGAGACATCAGTGATAAAGACAATACATTAGTTTTAAAACCCAGTTAAAGAAGAAAGAAGAAATTAGAAGATATATTGAAGGAATAGGTACGTACATCTAGGCTTGTCAATGGATTTAATTTTTTAAGTTTTTTATTGTTAATTTCACATAACAAGGTTTTGGAGTGAAGAGAGAGAGAGGAAATTTTGTGAATGTTTGTGGATTTGTACCAAATACTTTTAATTCTGGGTATTATTTTCATTATATTGGGAAGGCAGGGGTAGGGGGGGGAATGGAAGGAGGAAGGAGGGAGGGGAAGGAAGGAGGAAGGGGAAACTAAAGAAGGGGAAGAGGGAGGGGAAGGGATGTGAGGGAAAGAGGAAGGGACAGGAGGGGAGGGAAAGAGTTAGGAGAGGGGAAGGGAGGGGAGGGACAGAGGAAAGGAGAGGTAGAGAGGGGAAAGAGGGAGGGACAGACAGACAAACAGACAGAACAACCAAGCATATAGGACAAACACAGATGCAGAAAATCAGACAAATAAATAGCTAATAATGGCTTTTAAATGTTCCATTTCGATGCTACGAAATGTAAAATTTGCAAATTGAAACCTTTACCAAAAACTCAAATCTTTTACAGTATATTTACTTTCAGGAGGAGCACTTGGAGTACCAGTTATCAACAAAAATGCCAAACGTACTTGTACAAGGAGCAAGCAGGGGCATTGGTCTTCAGTTCTGCCGAGCCCTTGTAAATAGAGGTTTGTTATTTTATTCAAATATTTATATCTTTTGGTGTAATAAAAGTTTAAAAGAATATACATTAAAGCGTACGGATCCACGACATGAAAAAGAGGGATGTATTTATTAATTCCAGTTAATGTTCTTATGTGCAGATTCTGATTATATAAGTTGAAGGTGTCTCTCCTTTTTTGCAATTAGATTAATTAATATTTCCCTACAGGATCAACGGTCCTTGCCTGCTGCAGAAATCCAACACTCGCTAAGGACCTTAGAGAATTGCAGGTTTGTTTGATGTGTTATATCTCTTGTCTTTTCAGTTTGTAGTGCAATGTTGCAAAAAGTTGAGTTTTGGAAAAGAGAAATTATTAAATAGATATTTATGATTTTAGTCATCAATATTATTGTGTTGATTAGTATATGACACAATTATAATACACCTAAAATTAATCTTTATTGTAATGATATTGATAACCCCTTTTTTTCTTTCTTTCTTTCTTTCTTAACAATATTGATGGACAAATTCTCACTAATTATTGGTTGCTAATTTCTAAAAAGGCATTGGTTTTGCCCAGTCATCTTAGTCATCATTTTTTTTCTTATTTCATCCACTCTGTTTCTGAAAATTGTATAACTTGTTTTCATTTTAGTTTCTTCACGTACTGGCTAAGGTATTTTTTCAAGATGACTTTCATTGTATTTTATTGTTTATATTCTCTATCAGGAATCAAGGAAAAGCATTTCAAAATTGTCCTTTTGTAAGTGAAATGTATGAAAGATTAGTAGATTAGAAAGAACTATGTAAAAAAATAAAAACTGAGTAACATGTTAATAGATGTACAACTGCTGTTCTTATTTAGTACTTACTTGTAGGGAGTATTTTGCTTGTCAGAAGTAGAATATCAGTACTGTCATAATATACTGTGTCATAAGATTTAGAGATAATCTTTGGAGAACATTATGTGACACAGGACAGCTAATGTCATTTTTGAAAGCAGTTTATTTAAAGAAAATGTGTATTGCCTATTGAGTGGTGTAATGTGGTAAGGATGATCATGGTAAAGAAAATAAAAGATAATAGTATTAATTGCAATAATGGTATTAATAATGATGATGAAATTATTATTAATGATAGTAATGATAGCATCTTTAAATCATTATAAGAATAATGAGAATGATTATAGTGATGATATTGATTTAGTTATAGTGACATTTATATTTATACCAATAGATTCATTGATACAAAGAAAAAATATTGATATTGATAATTATGCTAATACACTATCGCTTTTCTCCACAAAAGTCACAGCATCCAAGCCAAGTGGACGTCATACCCTTAGACGTGACTAATGAAGAGGCCATAATAGCAGCCGCCGAGCACGTGAAGCAGACGCATGGGGGGAAATTGGACCTTCTTATTAATTCAAGTGGTATCCTCAGTCCAAAGGGAAGGGGCGAGACAAGCTTGAAAGATGTATCGCTTCAGGTGAGGGCACTTGCGATAGGGCTGGTGTTCTTTATAGAAAGTCCATGGTATTATAGAGAATATGTTTTTTTTTAGTGGAGATCATGCATGTTTACAATTGCAAAAGCAGTGTTTGTTATTGTGAATCATTGGAGTATGTGAGTGTTGTTGATGAAAATGTGTATATGGCATTGTGTACAGTGTTTGTTTTTGCAAGGAATGTGTGTTTGTGATTGTAGATAAAATGTGTGTAGTATAATCATATGTCCAACACTGTGGTGAATACATATGATCTTGTGGAGAATACTTCCTTTTAGTATTGCAGGGAAGATGTGTTTGTGTTACTCTGTTATTATAAAACTGTAATAATGATCTACAAATGGGAAAGTATGTTCTGGTCACTAGAATCCTCCTCCAAACACCCCAAAAATGATTTAAGGTTACCAGAGGTTGATTGACTGACCCATTTGGAAAAATAGAAGGTAAATGTTTGCATGTGGTAATGGGCAATAGATTAAACTAATAGAAGTGAGACCACATAAATGGAAAGAGAAACTTAGTGAAAGATAGTTTGGCCTTAAATAGTAAATGAATAATTTGTATAGACTGTGTTACATAATTATCAGTTGTAGTTAACTTTTACTATAATTTCTTGTCCAAAAAAATCCTTGTATGCACATTCTTTTTTTTTTGTATTCTACAGGCTCTTCAAGAAACTGTCACAGTTAATACCTTGGGTCCACTGTTAATGGCCAAATACTTCAGTCCACTTTTAGGAGCTGGAAACGGTACCTTTGGCAGACAAGCTCAGAGTGCAAAGGAAAATCATGCTGCAGTCTTGGTGAACATGTCAGCCAGAGTGGGCTCTATTGGGGGTGAGTATTGTCAAGTAGGTATCATTTGTATGTCTGAAGGGAAATATTCAAGAAGGGAGAGGACGAGGGTGAAAACAAATTCAAGTGTTAATGAGAGGGGGGAAGAGGAGAAGGAGAAGGAAAAAGAAAAAGATAGGAAGAGGATTTGGTCTGCTTCAAGGAGGAAGGTAAGAGAGAGAGGGAGAGGTTGGAGGAGAAAAAAAAAAGAAAAGGCAGAGGGTAAGGATGGAGGACAAAGAGAGGGAGGGGTTAGCAACAGAATCAGAAACGAGAAAGAGAGGGAGAGAGAGAGAATGAAAGAGAGAGGAGAGG